TAGGGTTTAGGGTTTAGGATTCCCTCACCCGCCAGGTACCTACCAGAAAGGGTACTGGAGCCCCTGTGGTTAGGAACCCCAAACAGGACATAAGCATAAGCATCTTATGGGGATATCCCTACCTTGGTGGGCTTCATTATAAGGGGATTTAGGATTCGGGGTTCAGAGGGTTTTGACCGATGGGATCTCTTACGAACTTTCCGGCTTTGAGCATTGAGGATCTTGGGATCAGGGTTTGGAGTTGAGAGTTGTTGGTCTGTCGGATTTACTGGCAAGTTTGGGGGGCTTAGGGTTTGGGGTTCGGGACATCAGGTCCTGGAGTTGGTGTGTGTGTGTGTGTGGCTCGGCAGGTGACCTGACGTTAATCAAGCCTTCATCTCCCCATGTCTTTTTGAAAGGTTCTCGGCAAGTTGAGCGATAGGATCGTCTATTCACACGAAGATTCGATCTTCAAGGCTGATAAGGCCTTGACACAGCTGCAGAGGGTGGAGCAATTTGCTCGTCTGCGTCACGCGCAAGTTGGCAGCTTACCGAAGCTAGCTGCGGACAATACTAAACCTTGTCGCTATATTCCTCCACTGGACATGTATTTATTTCACTCGTTCTTCGGTCGGTTGACACGACCAACCCAGGCTGTTGCCTTACATGTAGCCCCGATTGTTGCACACGCGAACCCTTCTTAGTTGCGCTAAGGTCGCGAGGCAGCACTGGCAAAGTTTGGTTCGGAGCTCCGGGGGTATGAACTTGCAGCTCTCGGGCACTGTAGTCTGTTCAGACTCGGACGAGGCTCATCATGCTGGGGTTGTTTTGCTGTCAAGGCAAGCCGTTTCGTTGGCTCTCGCCTACTTGTGTGGCGCAGTTGGATCGGCAAGCATTCCTATAGTGCTCATGATGCTAGTTCTTTTGTGGAAGACCGGGGCATGCAGCCTGTTCATGCTCAGGATGCCGCCTGTGTCGAAGCAGCTCCAAGTTCTTTCGCATGTCTCGTTTTCCGCCTGCAGATCCGCTGACACCTTCACGCCACTCTCTGCTTGCTACCTCACCGCGTTGAATGCCCAATCCCATTTCATGCGCCAGTATGCTGCGCAAGTCGCCGCTGCAGCCGCGGCCGGACAGGAGCCTCTTAGATACGTCGGTACGTGAGTGTACGTGTGTTACATCTGCCAGCTATAAGACGACAGCCCATCGTAGGAGAAGCAGTTTCTGTAAGAGTTAAAGTTATTTTCCCCGGTAGCTAACTGCATCACCATGCAAGTTTTTGCAGGTGGAACCTGCGCAAAACCAGTACTGAGCACAGAGAAGATGCACCTCAAACAGGTTTTGAAGCCTTAACGTTCGAACATCCGAACCTAGCGAGGACATGGCCCCCCTCCTCCCACGAGAGAAGCTCAAGCCGGCGGAAGTCAAAGATGTGGACGGTGCGGCGCCGATGGAAAGCTGAGGGGCTAGGGCGGCTAGTGCTTGTCTGTTGGCTGATGAAGGTAAATGCCTTCGCCGAAGATTAGTCGACTAGTCAACTTCTGGCAGGGGCACCACAGCATCGGTCATGGAATCACTCGACATGGTGGGGGCACAAGAACCTGGAACATCAGTTTTGGATGAGAACTCCTTGGGATGTGACGTTGTTTTTCTAATTAGGCCTTCGCGATTCTGTCTGCGGAGTGCTAGTTGGCGGGACCTCCCGTAGGAAGTCCTTGTTGCATCCACAGCAGGTGAGCTGAAGCTTGTCGCCCGGCCCCCGGCCGAATTTGCCAGAATGTTTGTCGCGGTTCACGCCTTTTGGACATCGCTCCATGGAAAGTCCTGGGTTTAGGCTCACCTGTGTGACACACAAGAGGCCCACGCAATTGGCAGCTAACTTGTATGTGTAGGAAGTGATGAAGTTGACTACGAACTGCAAAAGGATGATTATGCACTGTAGCTCTGTGTACGGGAAGCATATCGGCATCGAACGCTGTACACTCGTATGGCAGATATTCTAAGGTGCAACTGATGCCGCAGGAGATCATCAAATGGAAGGTGGGTGGCATGATGATATGGGCCCGTCTGGGTGATTGTTGGAAGCCTTGCTTGCACACTCGTCACGGCTTCTGTCTCACGCAACTCTGCAATGCAGGATATCAAGCTTGCCTGGCCCCCAGTGTCTGCTATGCAGTAACAGAAACTCCTGTCAAGTTGCCGGCGATCCAAAGATGTAAAGCCCATTTGCACTTGCAGTCCCGCAAGAATCAGCTTGCCGAGCGAGGTCAAACCCATATCGATGGGAAGCTTCGGAGAGGTCTTCTTAGCCAGGCGCGCCCGCGCTCTTCCGGGACGAGGGGTGAAGAGACCTGTAGGGCGTCAAACGGGCCAGTGTGGTTGGGCAGCTTCCGAAGGGCTTGGAAGAGGATGGTTTTGGCTGTTCCAGCAGCGAGACATGAATCTACGTGGCATCGGTGGAATTGCAGCTTTGGTGAGCTGGGGGTGTCCTGAAAGTCTCGGTTGGCCTTTGCAAGGTTGAAGAACCTCGATGTGAGTTCGGTCCTTAGTACAGTGTTGCCTCGCTTCCAAGCTGGGACTTGCCCCTACCCCCCCAGGTACCTACTATATAGGGTACTGGAGCCCCCAGGGCCCTATATAGAAGGTACCTGGGGGTTTATCCCATTATGGTACCTTAAACCCTAAACCCTAAACCCTTAAAGGAACCCTAGGTACCTGGGGGGGTTAGGGTGCAGCGAGCCATGATTCAAGTGAAGGTGTGAAGAGAAGCCTGCTGCGGCCAGATGGTTCGATGACACCGGACGGGCTGAGCAATACGGGGCGCCATGAAACCTTGCAAGTCTGAAGGAACCCTAACCCCCAGGTACCTACTATATAGGGTCCCTAGAGGGGCTCCAGTACCCTATATAGTAGGTAGTAGGTTCCTGGAAGGTTAGGGGAAGGTGAGTGCTTTTTTGCTTGGAATGGCGTGAAGGTCTGAGGAGAGAGGGTCTGCTGAAGTCGGCTCGCCAGTGGCCTGCGAAGCTGAACCCTAAACCCTAAACCCTAAACCCTAAACCGAGTCGCCACCAAATTCCAGGAGCAGCTGCGGAACTTGGAGCGGGAGATCAACTCCTACAGGCTCCTCCGAGTCATCGTCGTATATGATACTAGGGTTTAGGGTTTAGGGTTTAGGGTTATAGGGTTTAGGGTTTAGGGTTATCATATGGGTGGTTGTCAAAATTATGGTCCCTTCTTGGGTCCGTAGTATGATACGGCACCTAATATTTAGGGTACCCAAAAAAGGGACCCTAATTTTGACAACCACCCATATGGCATAGTGTAGTGGAATATGTGCTATCGTTAAATTTATTGTTACTCATACTGTTGTTAAAGTTGCTATGTCAGAGAAAGGGCCGTCCGTGTTCTCGAGTCAGGAAGCTGAATCAGACCCAGGCGCCATGCATTGTCAAGTGCGCCTTTGCTTGCGGGCGGCCGGGTGCTATGCGAAGTGTCGAATGCAGCTTCAGAGTTGGGAGTTTCCGAAAATAAGGGGTACCTTATATTGGGTCCTTATAATAAGGATCCTACTATTTAGGGTACTATATTAGGGTCCGTTATTTTCGGAAACCCCCAGTTATTGCCAGCCGGTCCTCGCTGACATGCATTCAACATCATCCTGTTAAAGCTCTCAATCGACATCGTACACTTTCACCACCGGTGAGTTGAAACATAGCAAGGCAGCAGGTAGAATGGAAGCATGGGAGAAGTTCCGGCTAAAATTTGGCAGAGCTGGCTGTCGCACAGCGGCTACCCAAACGCAAGGTCATCAGAAAATTGCGCATAGACTAGATCCTTCAAGTGCGTTATCGCATTATGGCTCGGCCCTGATATATCAAGCCAAGTAACAACCAAGAGCTGGATGCTTTGTGCACGCACGTCCAGTCAACACTGGTATGATAGGGTTTTGCATCAGCAGATCTTTGCCAGCAGATCTGTCGCTAATTGCAATGGCTGTCGGGGCTTTGTTCTCAGCCGCAGGTACATCGGCTGCATTCTCGAGCATCCGAATCTGGCTGTCGTCACGGAGTGATGACCCCAAAAGCCTCGTCTTGTGAAGCTGTGAAGTTGACCCCAAGGGTTCGTCAGCGCCGCAAAGTGGCAACCAGCAAAAAAGGAGCAGCATCTTTGGGATTTGAGATGCGGCGACGGCATGGTCGCTGTCATAGCAGCAGACAGCAGAAGCAGTAGCACTAGCAGCGGCAGCAGCAGCAGCAGCAGGAGCAGCAGCAACAGCGGCAGTAGCGTAGCAGCAGACGGAGTGGGAATGAGTGCTGGACTAGACAGCGTAACGAATCCAGCGAGTGATCGAAATCAGTCAAGAATAGCAAAGTGTCGTATGAATGCCGCAAGAGTATTGAGATGCAATTCCAGCATGAACAGATGAAGACCAAGACGCAAATCCCGAATCGAGGGATCCTGCTTATAGGAATTTGAAGAGGCGACCTCTATTACGACCGAAGCTGAGGTTTCTGCCAAACGGTAATCTCTTCGATCTGCTGCAGCTTGGCTTCGCTTTGGTTCCGGAGACTGTTTTCAGGGGATTTCGGGTTTAGGGTTTAGGGTTTTCATTCCTGAATGCATTGCACCGGGGTCCCATGTGCAAGCACTGTGCAGTTTGTCGAAGACGGACGAGGGCCCAACTTTGAGCCAACTGGACCCCTTGAGCGGGATACTTGTGCCATCTTGTCCCATTCCTTAATCTGATTTAAGCGTGGATGGATAGCTCCTGGCGACTGTACTGTCGCTGATCCACAGCATACCGATGTTTGACTTATGAACAAACGAAGCTTAGGGACGGTGTCCTTGCACCACGCCGCAATCCCAAATAGCAGCATAAGACAGGACGTAACAATAAGCACCATTGGATATGGCATTGTCAGACTTGTACAAGCTAGCTTGCAGCCATCAGGAAAGAACACTGTGTTTAATGTTCTGAGAACTTCGGGCCTCTATTCCTCGGAATCCGAGTCCGTTAAACTCATATAAGGTTATGCTACTTGTCATGTTGACAAAGCATTCTGCACCCAGCCTACACTCTCTTTGCAGAACCTCTTACAGTTTACAGTTTTTTGTTTTATATTTTTTATGTGGGGCTGCTTGCCAGATGCATGACGGGCATGATAGGGTGCAGCAAAAATACATCATGCGTTTGACTACCAGCCGGTACACAGTGCTATACTCTATCGAACCTGTCTACAGCGCATCACACATGTCTACAGATTTAAACACTCAGAACTGCGAATCAATTCGGCACGGGCCTCTATCGTATGTTGCTTGGGCTGGTAGGGATTTCTGAGAGGACCGTCAGGAGTACAGCAGACAACGATTCTCCGAAGCACGACAACTTACTCTGGAGTCTGTAAAGGGTGCAGGGCCGATCTGTATAGTTCGGGATCGAGGAAGTCACATTGGCAGAACCGCAGGCAGGGGTCGAATCCTTTAGCTTGCTTGCGCCGACTTTGGCGAAGCTTGGTGCCTGTAGGAAGTCTACTGTAGGAAGTCTAGAGGCCTAATGACAAATCCAGGCACCTCGGATTTGCACGAGCATTTGGGGCATGGTTGCACGAGCTTGCGGTTTTCCCTCCCTGCGGCGGTCGAAATATTCTGGGGTCTTGAGCCTACGTGGTGAGTGCAGTCCAGATTGGTGTCTGGGGTCTTATCGATCCAAGCCTTACGACTCACGATTTGCAGCACGAAACGCTTCGCGAATAAGACCACAGTTTAATGCAAGGGCAGCATGGCGGACCTAGCGCAAGATCAAATCTGGGAGAATTGGAGCTGACACATCTCAGGCCAAAACTTTGCCGGGGATCTTCAACCCATGGCCGGATTGATATTGAGTCGGCCGTTTGAATGTCAATGCGGGCCTGTCTGTGTCTGATGAGGCCACCGCGCTAGACGAAAGGCGAAGAGATTTTATGGGCAGGTTCAGGCACATGTGCCGTATCCTGCTTTTCCATAATATGTGTTTATATGAAGTGTTTGGCTGTCTTTGTGTAGGGAAGGCGGCGCAACACACACACACAGGCGCAAGCGCGATCGCGCCCGTGCACATGCGTATATTTACATGTGTAGAGTTTGGCAGGCTTAGGTGCACATGTTTCATTTTTATTCTGCCTGTTTTGGTTCAAGCCTTGGCAGTCGAGCCAAAACGGCAGGTATTTCGTTGCCCACCCTCCCATCCCCTTTCGGAGACGATCCCCCGTGGGGTTGTCCTCTCCGTGAGGTTTTCCGCGCGAGTTTTCGCGACTGCATTCGGGGGGATACGAACCGGTATGGTTCGAGAATTTCGGGGGCACAGGAGTTACCTGTTGCCCCGGGTGTCAGGTCTAACCGAATATTCTACCAAAGCACTTCCTGTGAGCTGAGCACAAGTTCTACAGAGGGGATCATGGCGAGGCAGAAGGAATAGAGTGCCGAGTGATTGCAGTAGCCTTAAGGATGCGATT